GGGTTGCTGGAAGGCCTTCTTGAGATGTCGAGCTATCGTCTGAAGTGCAAATATCAAGGTCTACCGTATTGCTTGGCGCGGGTGGAGCACTACACCATGAAATAATACTTGGTACACTTTTGAACTCAACCACAAGTCGAATTCCTGGACTCTCCTCGAACAATCCACCCGTCGTCCCCTGGCGGATTATAGCTTGATCTAGAGCTGATAGCCCAATACCCGTCAGGCTACTCCCTATTGCATACTCTGCTCTACCAGAGATAGACCGGCCAATGGATAGTCGACGACAAATCTCTCACCCGCTGAGAAGTGCGTCAGGAATTTCGTCGAGCTCGCCCGAGAAAATCACCATGGTCTGACATGGAGTTTCCCCCTCGCCGCAGTTTAGGCTGCTTTTACTTGCAATGGAGAATACCATAACCCTAAGGCCTGGTTAACTGTCTCGATCCCGGAGGGCACCTCTATCGGACCAGCACTCACCTCTGCTTATTCAGTGCCCTGATGCTCCATCGGGTGCAACATGTTTCTTGTGTCTGACAGCATCTCATTATTACTCGAGATGGCTCGTCCTTTCCATCCCTTATCTGTCCCATATGACGCGTCTAGGGTAAGAGGTCGGTTTTCTCCCTTATTCTCCCTTCTTTACAAGGACAAGATCGGACTCAGATTCCCTGGCACAGTTGATAAGAGGACGCACTGTCCACTCCTCTCAGCCTCTTCTTGGTTGCTTCTTTTTGTTGAGTCAAAATAGAAAGAAAGAAAACTGGGCTTGAAGAGGAAACGGCTTTGTCCGAAGTGAGTAGCTTGCTCGAGTTACATTTGAGGGACCGAGCTTGTATTGATATTCGACATGTCGTCGAAACCAAAGATACTCCTTCTCGGGCAGATTGACCAGTTAGCAAACCAAGTCTCTTCTTTTTTGGTCCTGTCCTAACCATACCCACAAACAGTGCTCAAGGAACATGGCAATCCCTCAGCTCTCTTGCCGACCTGATAGTCCCGACCGCCTCCAATCGCGACGAGTTCATCAAAGATTGCCGATCTGGTAAGCTCGACGGCGTGGTCGCCGCATATCGCACTTTCCAATCAACAAGCATAACTGGTCTTTTTGACGCAGAGCTCTGCAATGCTCTTCCGAAATCATGGAGATACCTCGCTCACTGTGGCGCTGGGTACGACCAGATCGACCCCGAAGCCTGTTCTGCACGGGATCCCCCACTTTTGATTTCCAATGTTCCAACGGCAGTTGATGATGCCACAGCAGACACGGCGATCTTCCTCATGTTGGGAGCTCTGCGAAACTTCAACACCAGCATGACTGCATTGCGAAGAGGTCATTGGCGTGGCATTCCACCCCCGTCATTAGGCCACGATCCCCAGGACAAAGTACTTGGAATCCTAGGCATGGGCGGTATCGGGCGAAACATGAAGAAAAAGGCCGAGGCGTTTGGCATGACGGTCATCTATCATAACCGACGACAACTTGATCCTTCGTTAGCCGATGGCGCGGAGTATGTTTCCTTCGAAGAATTACTGAAGCGAAGTGACGTTCTGAGTCTGAATCTCCCACTGAACCCGAAAACTCGCCACACGGTTTCCACCGAGCAATTCAAATTGATGAAACCGAGCGCGATAATCGTGAACACCGCACGCGGAGCGGTGATTGACGAAGCCGCGCTAGTGGACGCCCTAGATAAAGGGCTCATCGCGGGCGCCGGTCTAGACGTGTATGAAGAAGAACCCCGAATTCACCCGGGCCTGGTGGGAAATGAAAAGGTCATGCTATTGCCGCATATGGGTACGTGGACGAGCGAGACGCTGAAAAAGATGGAGGAGTGGGCGATTGCGAATGTGAGACTCGCGCTGGAGAGGGGCGAGTTGATGAGTCCTATCTTTGAGCAGAAGGATATGCGGAGGTAGTCTCGGGCAACGAGTGCTCTTTGCTTATTGGTATATAGTCTTTTTCTTTCTCAATTTGGGAAGCGCATAGAGAGAGGGGGAAAAGGGTGGGGGAGAGTTTCAGGTCAGAAAGCAACCCGGAGTGCGTCCTCCAAGGAATCACCCAGTGTGATACCTACACGTAGATATATGTCCGACGCAACGAAGATTTGTCCTGTAACGATAAACCTGCCCTGCCTCCCGCACAGAGACAACCGCGCAATTTAGCGACGGGAACTGCTACGCATATCTATTCTAACAATGACTACGTAGTCTACATATTGGAAGTAAAGGGTCGCAGAGAATGGTGCGTCACCGGTATCTTTGAGGAACAGGCTGGCTACGCACAACTTCTAGCTGAAACCCCTAGTAGTGGTAGAGACATGACCACTATGATACCGTCCTTTGAAGAATCGACTTGACACTACGCCCCTAGAAGGCACGTGTGCCGAGAGCGATGAGGGAGTCTCTTTCGCAATGACTTGGACACAATATGCCTGGTGCTAACGTCAGGGTCGATATTTATCCAGCCTGTTGTATACCTAATTGACCTAACCTGTGCCCGTGCCGCTCTTGCATGTAATCCGTCTCGGGGTATCGTGTCGTAGATAACTCAGGTTTTCCCCATGCCAAAGAACGCCTTCGCTATGCAGAATGCATCCCAAATTGCCTTGAAGAGAAAAGAAAACCCTCTAACTATCGACTCCGACATCCTCAAAGACATCATCTTCATCGTCCTCCACACCTGACTTCGTATCCATGTCCGAATCCTCGACTTTTGGCGCGACCTCCACGCCCGTGGGGTTTTGTAGGAGGGTGTCCTGCTGCTTGAATTCCTGCTTCAACTCCCATTTGCCATTGAAGTCGCCGGATTTCCACATGAATGCGATCTCTGAGAGTGTTTCGCGGAGATACGCCTCGGGTTGGTTGACTTTGGCTTTGAGGTCGCGGAGACCCCAGATGCGATGTTGGCGGAACAGGTCCAGAAGCTTGTCGATGAGGACGTGCTTGTCCACACGCGCCGCTCGGGTTTCCTTTTGGGCGTGCTTCTTGGCTTGGACGGTCTATTGTCAAAGGTTAGTCGTGTTCATATGCAACAAAAATTCGAAAATGGAGCTCGTTGGTGGTCTAACTTACCTTCAACATAGCTTGTCTTTCACTCATCGTCATAAATGATCTGCTAACCTTCTCTGGGTCGTAGTCGCCGGTCGCAAAGATGGCTTGTTCTCGTTCGGGGACCTTGAGGAGCTCCGCCGCCTGCTTGTTCTCGAGCACAAAGTATTCATCGTTCTTGACGGGTACGGCCTCGAACTCTCTCGCAACTGCGCCTGTGATGGCTGTTTGTTTCGGTATAGGTCGTCGCGTGTATGGAACGTAACGACCTTTCTCTTTATTTTCTTTCTTCTTTTGCTCGCGCTTGTGTCTTTCGTAGAGAAATGAGCGGCCTTGTCCGGGATTGCCCTCCTCATCAATGTCATCCCATGCGAATATGCGGGGCTTATAACCCGGTAGGTCTTTCTCGGAGAAGATTAACGCCTGACCGGGTCTTCGTGACCGCAGTTTCTCGGGTAGAGGGGTGAAGAGGTTGTACTCTTTAGGTTCGTTTTCGAAAGCTGGCAGTGAGTACAACAGTAAGCTGACCTGTCGCCGACCTCGTTAGCCATCTCCCGCCTTTAGAGAACATCTGTTGTAGGTTCTGAAGGGGCAAGCGCACCCTTGATGGATTCGACTCTGGGCCTTCTACCCTAATTTTGCCAATCTCGATTTCGTCGTCGTCTTGTAGCTTTGACAGTGTCTCCCATAGTGTTCGTGGAATGTGACTGAGCCATAGTTGTTGCTGTGCCTGTGAAAAGTCGAGGTCTCCTGCGTCCTCGTAAATGTCATCATCCTCGTCAACATAAGGTGACGGCGTGTCGTCCATGGGTTCCAGCTTAACATTTTCGTCAGGTGCCGGTTCTAGCTTGACCCTAGGTATCCCTGCTCCCTGAAGAGTTGCCATGTTTGAGGTAACAGGTGGCGAAGACTGGGTAAAATGGGTAGGACGAGGGTGGTAAATGAAGCTTGGAGGTTCTCTATTGCGGGCGGGAGTTTGGGGTTCAACCGCTCGCCGCCTTGCCGCCCCCAGAGAAACAATGTGTTCGGACTAGTGCTTAACTATCAGCCAATCACAGCTAGAGTTTTCCAGCCTTGCTATCCAGAGCCTTACTGTAGTTGTACTCGGTACTCCAGACTTGCGTGCCCAACTAGGTCTTCATGGTATAACGTAGTTCATCCCGCCCTTCATCAAACATTATTTCAAACGTTCTTTTTGCCCCCTAGCCCATCAACAGTGGCAGTGTTACAGTGCTGTGGCCTCGTGACTGTGCCGTCCTGATTGTCATATTCGATTTCTCCCTTGGTGTGTCGTCACATATTCAACTATTTAATTCCTCCCTTTATCAGTGCTCCCTAGCAGTCCGCTGAGGACACCATTCCACACCCTAGCTTCTTGCAGCAGATCCAGGCATCAATAATCCCAAGGCGAGTGAACGATCCATTGTCAGCGCCACCAAAGCTTGAGCGGCAACGCTCCACAAGGCGAACTTGACCGCAGCAAATAGAAACGAATGCCTGGACGTTCCAAAACCTTCTCTTATGTGCCATTTGCGGAGCGCTACAGAATATTGAAAGATTATCATCAAACTCTCGGAGGGCCGGGAGTATCGTATAGACGGCAAGGAAACGCGAACGACAGGGGCAACGAGACTGGTCTCCTGCACTGTAATGGTGTCAGTTGCTGGCTGAGCGGATTTGGGGTGCAATATCTTACAGGGGATAATATCGTCTTTGTTTGTGGCCTCCGAGGCTAGACTGATTTCTTCATTTGGATTTTCGGCCATCTTTTTCTTTAAATACACGAAGCTCAACGAAGCGATGTTTTGATTGCACCCTTGAAAAACGCCGATGCCGGAGGCAAACAACACCAGCCTGTCGCACCCTTGCGTGGCAAGCAGGAGATGGAAAAGGTAGCGTCTCAGAAGAGGCTCGACTTGCGATCGTCTGGTCATGAATTCTTGTCCATGTCAAAACAACATCAAAGGCTGTCGTCGGAAGCCATCACCAATATGAGAAATAGCAAGGTCAACTGCTCCTTTTTGAGTAGCTGTGAGATGTTCCGATCGCTGTAGCATCTTTAGGGGAAGCACCAGCTGCATCGCCGCAATCACGTTGATTTCTTGAAATCCCTTTTTGGGATGCTGGCCGGATACTGATGAATGGAAGTCTCCGGTGGGAGTCACATCGCCTAAGGCGTATGCTGTCAGACCTATGAGCTCCGACGCGGTCAGTTGAATGATAGCTCGATATTTGGAAATCTGAAGATTGCTGGCAGAAGAGGGAGTCTCCTGGTCCTTTGGAAAAGGCCTGCCGCGAAGCTTCAGAAGCTCGATCATAGCCTCATACAGCTTATACCGCGCAGCAAGGAATCGCAACCAATATAAGAAAATCCAGAAACTGTAGAAGTGATAGAGAGCGTGAGATGGATACAGAGCCCACATAGTGCCGGCTGTCGTAGCTCTTACTCTCATCATATCCCAACCCGGTTCATCTTTGCTCCAGTCTGCCATGCTTTCGTCCAATGTTTCGCCATACTTTAACAACACGTCCGCCGCGGTGTTAGTAAGGGCTAGCTGAGCAGGACTTCGACTGAGAAATCGCTTGATTTTCTCTAGAAGTCGAGCAACCCGGTGGAAGTAGGCAGTGGCTTTGTTCGCTGTTTGAGACGGTACGAACTCGTGCTCGTCTTGGTAGACGTCGATTTCGAGATTGTCAAAGTCCTTCGAGGTAACGGAGTTCAATATGAAGAGTCTCATTTGCTAACGGTTGTCAGTGGAACACGGAATATAGGGACGTGGATAACGCACAATTGCGGCTTTGAAAAGACGGAATATTCTCTCTCCGCGCGCAGTAGTGAATTGCGACAATCCTCGGAGGCGTAACAAATTCATGGCCCCCCTGACATGCAAGAGATGTGACTGCCACTCTTCCTCCAATGTTCGCGATTCCGGAGTTGTTCGCCCGTGCATCAACACAACGCTGATCATCTACGTAGGCTTTAGTCGAGTCACTAGAATATCCTCTGCCACATTTACCTCGTAGAGTCCAAGGAGCCAGACAGCAAGCACTGTCTCATCTTGAATGCTCGCAACTGTGTCGCGGATAGTCGCGTTGGTCAAACTCAGCGCATGGCCATACTCTCGACCAGTCTGAAGCCTCACATCCTTTCCACTGTATCTGTCGGCAAGGGTCATTCGGGATACTGCCATTGCAGCCTTGTGGATGCAGGTGCGGGGATCAGCATCCTGGAGCATTCCCGGTAAAAAGTCGAGCACTGGAAATGAATAGAGTCGGCCTGCTTGGAAGCAGAATAAATTGAGAAAAAAGCACAACGACTGGTGTTGAATGTCGTAGCGCAAGGGAGGAGATATGGAGCGTTGACTTGGCGCCAATTTCTGCAGGACTAATTTACTTGTGTCGTCCTCGGTCTTGACTCTACTGGCTGGAAATTTGTCTGCGGTATGAGCGACCAAAGAAAGCGGGTTCTCCTCCGCGACGGAAGGGCGGATTGGGAATATGAATGGACCACGAGTCTGATCTTCTGGACCGAGATCCGAAGGTTCACCCTTCGGGGGTTCTCGAATCTGTAGTTGGACTTGGTATGGGTATCCTGGGCACGGTTTGCGTAATTGAGCGCATTTGTTGCATCCTGGTCTCCCTTCATCGCACTTATACATAATCAGTCAGAATTCAGGTATTCGAGGAAAAAATCCTTGCCTTAACCTTCCGCTTCTTACAGCGAGCACACCCTGTACTTGATCTGCCAGTATTACCCATAGCATCCAATAGGCATGAGCGGTAGTAGAAATGAAAGAGACCTGTGGAGCAAACGTCGGGTCAGAAAAGGAATGACGGACAGCACTTCAGGGCAGTTGAAAGTTTTGGATGCGTCTCGCGATCGAGGGAATTGCCATCGACGTACGGCCGTTTTCCCCCAAGGGTCATACTTCTACTCGTTGAGGTCTCCTAGGAGTTGCAAGCGGCCCCAAAAACCTTGTGTCTAGCGAGCGATGTGACCGAGCCCGCTCGACGCTGTTTGGACCAGTCCCCTCTCGACTTTTTGCTCAAGTCGGTGGTCGGCGGAATAAAAAGCAAGGCCACATGAGAGTTAGATGCAAAGCCTCCATGAAGGACGGGAGTACAAGCAAACAAAGTTTGATCAAAGCTGCTAGGCCAGGGAACAAGGCATCGGTTCAACCCAGCTGAGGTCAGGAAATCGGGCAACCAGCAGTGAGAGAAGGAGGGGATACTCCTGACAAACCTGGATTGACCAACTGTGACCAAACCTCTTCTGGCCAAAAGCGCTGACCATGGCGGAGGCTTTGTCCCGAAGCTTGGCAGTCATTTGAGCATCTCTGACTCCAATCTCGACTGGCACCCAGGGTTGAAACAGAGATGCCGTGACAACTAGCGGAGAAAAGGAAAGGTCGATGGACGGTATTTGGAGCGGGGATTCACCAGGGGTTTCACAGGAGCGAGTCAGCCTTGCGCAAGAGTCATGAGAAGAGTTGCCGACTCATACAAGGCACCACCGGAGGGGCCGACCAGAACCAAAATACTCTGTACTGATTCCTAATAGTCCAGAAAGTCGTGATTGGGTAGAAAGTGTGAATGTAACAAGTAGGTCGTGAAAGACAAAAGGCCCTGAGTCTGCCGCCTGTTCTAAGGATAGCTGAAGGCGTCGACGAACTGGATGTGCGATGGCGGTCGACCGTTGTCTTTTAGAGTTGCTTGTTTCCTCTTGATGTGCCTCAGCCTCAACCGGGGCACGGCCGTCGAGGCTTCTGATTGGACCTCGTCTGACCTTCCATATTCGAAGGGCCTTGACCTCGCCTACACCTTCTGCGATGCGAATAGCCCGCCTGTGCACACCCATGCAAACACCACTACCTGCGCCCCCCGGACATCTACCTTTGTTTCTTCTTGACTAATGTGTGGTTTGAAACTAGGCTGACTTTGTGGGAATGTGCTGTTGCTGTTAGGAGGCATAAGTCCGCACGGAGAGGCATGGCCTCCAGGTTGGTGTTGGTCATTGGCGACCTCTTCATCCCGGATCGAGCGCCGGTAAGCATTCGTCTTGTGTAGTCCTTTCACTGTACAGAAAACTTACGTTGAGACATAGGAGATTCCTCAAAAGGTCTGTCGTCACCTACCTATTTGCTAGCTGCGGCTTCCAATCTAACGTTTTGTGACGCAGTTCCGCAAACTCCTTGCTCCGGGAAAGATTGGACAGGTTGTGTGCCTAGGCAATATAACAGATAAAGAGACGTATGACTTTCTGCGACAGACAGCTCCAGACCTACACATTGTGAAAGGCGATTTCGACACCGAAGCATCCAGCTTAGCTTTATCAAAAGTGGTGCAACATGGAGGACTTCGAATTGGGTTCACGCATGGCCATACCGTCATTCCCCAGGGAGACGCAGATGCCCTGCTGATAGCTGCACGCCAAATGGATGTTGATATCTTGTTGTGGGGTGGTACGCACAAGTTCGAGGCATACGAGCTAGAGGGTAAATTCTTCGTCAATCCGGGTAGCGCCACAGGCGCATTCAGCACAAGCTGGCTGGCCATCGACGAAGAGCCAATTCCCAGTTTCTGCTTGATGGATGTACGTCGTGGGTGGATAACCCTCCCCATATGCTTCTACTGACCGACTTTAGATCCAAGGAGATGTCCTAGTATTGTACGTCTACCAACTGCGAAAGGATGAGAGTGGAAATGAAAATGTTGCTGTGGAGAAGGTTTCTTTCAGAAAGCCAGCCCCGATCGAGGCATGAACGCCACCACACGCCGAATTGAATGTAGTATTTCGTCTGGTGACTGATAGACGGTGACATCACCGAGCACAGCAATGGTCGAAAGGGCGGGTGCCTACCACTCATCACTACCCGAACTGCAAAAGCCAGCTCGATCTTCAGAATCCGCTTTCACCGAAGAGTTCGATCGGTCTACCAGCCGCCAAAACCCGCAATGGCCGAAGACAGGTTTTTCGCCGTCGCTGTCCAGAATGAGAAGGCTTTGGTCAATCGATTCGAGCATTGGTGGATTTGAGGTTTGGGTCTAAGAGCAGCCGGTTTGGTGGCCATAATTCATGATTCTCTTATGGATATTCGATTCTGGGTTATGTTCATTACATGCCCGGCTACTGCTGACAACAAAACAATACTCCAGTCCGGTCAGCTCATGAATTCAAGTTCGCAAAGATATTGCAACTTCGACAGTCTTGATCCACCTGATCCGTGCCTCGGGGAGATCCTCGGCCTCATACATTGGTCTTTTTCGCTTCTTCCTCTTCCGTCGGCTTGGCTTTGACAACGTGCCGTCCATGTTGACATCCTTTCCAGTGTGCTCTCTGCATATTCCTTGTGCCGCTTCATCCATCGTAGACCGGCTCTTTTTCTCACCGGAACTCATTGTATTCACATCAACACCTCCCAACAACTCCAGGGTTGTATCACCGCATTGCAACTTTGAAGACTCTTCCTCTTCGTGCCCTCCTCCATTCTCGTTCTCGCTTTTCTCACCGCGACTGTCGTTGTCATCCTCGTCCTTCTCCTCCAAGTCGAGCTGTAGAATGTCGTCCACGGTACTGACACTCCCAGCCCTCACCTCTACCTGACAAAGCAGGTCGTTCTCCTTATTTCGAAACCACTCGCCCACCCGTAACGCCTGTGCCATTGCCCGCCCACTTGCCTTGACTAACACCTCCTCTTTGTCCCTTGCCAATGCGTCATTCGCCAGCTCAACTGCCTTAGCCGGTGCTCCACGCCCATGCTTTTTCGTCACACTGCCCGCCCCAGCGGCATTCTGAAGTGTGCGCCTTTCGATTTGCACCAGGTATTTCTTGACGCGTTTGACAGCCGCGACCACGGGCGTGCGAGATGAGACGTAGACCACCTTCGGAGCCCCATTTGCGCCCCCCGAGGTGCGCGCATCTGCGATGGGCGCGTGATTCAACGGCCGACGTTGAATGGTTGCATTCGGGGGCAGGCGACGGAGATTTTGATTGCGCTTCTCGTGTTTGAGGGCCTTGAGTTCTGAAGTGATGGAGAACGGCAGTGGTGCAGAAGAAGAAGAGGAGGAGGAGGAGGAGGAGGAGGACATTGCCACCAGCAGCGCGCAAGACTTGGCCAGCTGGTGGGGGGCGCTGACTCGGTTGTACGAGAAGACAGAAATGTCGTGCGTAGGGACCGCGAATACGTAATGATCGAGAGCGCAGAAATCGACGGGCCTGTCACATTGTACTCCGTAGTGTGGTCTGGTGCGTATGCATTCGGTACGAACAGGTAAACAAGAAGTTTTGTTCCTCTAGACGAATTCATAGGTATGTGACGAATTTGGGCTAGTGGATTTGCGTCCGAATGGCATTAGTGAGAGGCCCGCCCACCAACGCAAGTGTTTGTGAAATGAGACGTAAAAGTCTACTTGTTAGGTAAGTATTGGAACTAATAGCTATGTACCTAGTATCAACATGGCCATGCTCCATACATTATTACAAAAGCGCCAACTCCCTGATTGGACCCATCACCAAGCATATGCTCCTGGTTCCCGTATCAGTGGGCACAAGTGTGTTTTGCGTATGCACCGAAGTTGAGCGGCCCGGTCACGCCTTGCATTTGCCAATCCCAACCACGTCGCTACCTCTGTCACTGTTCTCCTTGGTAAACGTCCAGAGACTCATGGCCTTTGGCTCGGCGAATTGCAACTTCAACGGCAGCGGGGTCTGTCGTCTGGGACACAACTCAGTGCCGATTTCAGCATGACCGGTCAATTAGACCAGAAGCACCGGAGGAAAGAACTTCAATCCACCCAGATGCCATTTGCGATTGCTGCGGATTTTCACTGTTGAGACTTCTCTTTTGTAAGACTCTATAGGCCTTGTTTTATCCACTTGTTATCTTGCACTGAACCTCCGACAGGATGGAGTGTGCCATTGGCCGTTTCCGGAACAAATGTGGACATCATTAGAATCGAGGAGAGTCCATTGAGCTGTCACCTAAGGTTGTGCTTACGACGTCGAAAGTTTGTGCAATATTGCACATTCCAAGCTCACCATGTCAAAATGTTCGCGGGCGAAAGCATTTCATATCGATTGGCAGATAAGAGTGTCCTTGTATTCTGAGCTGGTGGTTCGCTGTTTCTCACTTGCCCGGTCAGCATTATATCTGGAATAGAGCCCTCTTCGTCAATGTTGAGAAAATTCTGC